CCCGCCCCGCCCCTGCCAGAGCCCCCGCGGCCAAAGCATATCTTGCTAATTCCTCGACTCTTGCAATCCTGCCCTGGGCTCTGAGGCGGGGTCTAAGGCCCCAGTCCCACCCTCAGAAGGAGAAGGTCGAGTCCTCACCCCTCTGTTGCAGATCCTGGGTATCTACAAGCAGGGCCTCAAATGCCGAGGTGAGGAGGAATGACTGACAGAGCCGGCGGGCAGCGTTTTGGGGGAGAGATACTGCCTGGGTGGGGATTCTTATTTTGGTGGGGCAGTCGTCGGGGAGGGAAGTGCCTTGGAATCAGAGAGACAGGCCGGCTGATGGAAGGGGGTAGCCTTGAAAAGAGGCTGTTTAAGAACAGAGGACGTTGGTGAGGCACGGACTGGCCGTTAGGAGGAAGGGAGCACTTTGGAAGGAGAGGCTTATTTTGGGGGGGTGGCAGCTCCACGGTAAAGGAACCTGGGGAGCGGGGCAGGCTTGCAGGATGGGATGAGGGGCTCTGACCAGTGGCCCTGGCTGGGCGGCCCTCCACCCTCTCCCAGCCTGCGGCGTGAACTGCCACAAGCAGTGCAAGGACCGCCTGTCGGTCGAGTGTCGTCGCCGCGCCCAGAGTGTGAGCCTGGAGGGGTCTGCGCCCTCGCCCACCCACGGCCACCATCATCGCGCCTTCAGCTTCTCCTTGCCCCGCCCGGGCAGGCGAGGCTCCCGGCCTCCGGGTAAGCTGGCGTCATCCACTGGCCTGTGGAGGGAGGGAGGGAGGGAGGGAGGCAAAGTATTCACCAACAGGGTGGGTGCCCTCCCAGAGTTCTCCATTTGCTTGTTTTGGTGGGCAGTAGAGAAAAGACAGGTTGGCCAGGGAGCCGTCGGCCTTCGGAGGCTGAGGAGGAGAGAGGCCTTAACTCACCTAGAGGTGTAAAGGTGAAAGGGACTTCAAGATCCCATCCACACTCTTATTTTGTTAGGGGGATTGACAGAGGATTGGAGCAGGTGTTATGTGAGCCATTTCCCCACCTTTCCCTTTCTGGCTGTTCCCAGAAAAGTCCCTGGCCCTGATAACCTCCTGCTGGCTCTCTTGGGGGGGATCTCTGGTGATTTGAAGTCAGTTTGTTGAATGACAATTGGCCAAATGATTATTTTGCTGAAAACAGTCTGAGCAATGGTGTTAAACCAGGGTCTACCGTTTGGGTTGGCGAAAGTCCTCAAGAGATTGAGGCAGGCCCAGGGCATAAGTCCTTGAAAATAGAAAAGATAAAACCATCTGGGCCGGGCTCAGTGGCTCAGCCTGTAATCCCAGCGCTTTGGGAGGCCGAGGTGAGTGGATTGCCTGAGCCCGCGGGTTCGAGACCTGCCTGGCAACTTGGCGAGACCTCATCTCTACAATAAATCAAAAATTAGTTGGGCGTGGTAGCGGGCGCCTGTAGTTCCAGCTACTTGGAAGGCTGAGGCAGACGGATCGCCGGAGCTCAGCAGGTTGAGGCTGCAGTGGCCGGGAGCGGCCACTGCACTACAGTCTGAGCGACAGAGAGAGACTCCAACTCAAAAAAAAAAAAAGTCACAATATTATCACTCATAATGTTAGTTTAGCACTGAAGTTTTCCTGGACGCAGAGGTGACTTGGCAAAGAATTTCCAGAAAGTTCACATGTTCTTAAAAGAGCAATTGTTATGACTGCAAAAAACAATTATTGTAATAAATACTTACCACACTCAAATTAACAGGAGTGCTTGCCTTTGGTACTGGGTGGTCATAGAGTGATTTGAGAGTCTCATTCAAATCATTTTCCTAGAGCAAAAGAAAAAGTACATTTTATAAATGAAATATAATACCAAGCAAAACAATTAAAACTACTTGATAAAAAATCATCCCCTGTGCCTTCTCATATTAGACATGTTTTATATAAATGCTTTCCACAGAAATATTTCAGATGATTGACATTGAAATATTTAAATAAACAAATATGGAAAACATACTTAAAATCCTTTATCCAGAGGAATAATAGCAATACTTCTATTTGGTATAAAAATATGTATTTGGAAAACATATATTATAAGATATGTTAATGCTATAAGAGGAAATTATCTAAACTGTTAAATCCAAGAAGAACTATCAAATTGAATAAAAATAGCGATGAAACTTTATTTCAGCCCACAGAATACTCTCATTTTCTCCTTTCATTTTAGAATTCCAAACCTAATTTTTAAAGAACAGATACAATTTAAGTAAGAGTACTGTAATAAGATGTAATACAGAGTTTATTCTAAATATTTATTTTCTACATAGCTATTGGTCACTACTTGGTCCACAATAAATGGTATTAAATATACAACAAATCTACTTCATACAATTTGTATAATAATAATGTCCCTAGATGTGCACCTTCACTTTTTCTGAATCACACATATAAAACCAGTAATAAATATACAAAGATAGTTTTTTATAAACATAGTTATTTTTATTCTCTCAATTTTCATGTTGGGAGAATAAACTATGGAAAAAGGTAATTTTTCAGAGAATTAATCATTGATTTAAGAAATTTGAATGTGAGACACGACTTCTCACAATCTTTCTTATGACTTGTCTATCTACTCACACAAAAACTTATTAAATTAGACCCGTATAAATACTTACAAAAGTATTCACTCAAAACTACCTATCTGACATGCTCTTCAGAATGACCTAAAAGAACTATAAAGTAAACAATTTATCTCTTAACCACTTACACAATAAAATGTACCACAGAATACTGTATATAACATTGATCCTCTATGTATAAGAAATTCAAGGCCGGGCTCAGTGGCTCAGTCTGTAACCCCAACACTTTAGGAGGCTGAGGCGAGTAGATTGTCTGAGCCCATAGGTTCGAGATCAGCCCGGGCAACTTGGCAAAACCTTGTCTCTACAGTAAATCAAAAACTTAGCTGGGCATGGTAGTGCACGCCTTTAGTTCTGGTTACTTGGAAGGCTGAGGCAGAAGGATCACCAGAGCCCAGCAGGTCAACACTGGGGTGGCTGTGAGCGCGCCACTGACTACAGTCCAGGCGACGGAGTGAGACCCCAACTCAAACAAAAGAAAAGAAATTAATATGGCTATTATTTGGGGATTACCTTTTAAAAAGACTATGAAGCAAACAATTTGTCTCTAGGCTTCTTAAACAAAGAAGTGCACCATGGAAAATTGTGGATCATGCTAACACTCTTTTAATATAAAATCCTGTGGCTGCACCAATTTTTACAGTCTAACTTTTAAAAATCCCTTGTATGGTCCTATGTTGATCAGGTAAGGATAACCTGAACTATAAAAATTATCTAAATATCAATTTAAATAACCTATGGTATTAGATTAAAAATGACAAAAAATATTACAATTACAGATTGACTTCTGCTTATTTATTTAATACTATGAGCTTAAAATATTTCATCCTCAAATATGAAACTCAAATGTAGTTTCCCCTATTTCCCTTTTCAGAAAGCCAAAATTATATGAATTTGTTCATAACAATTTTCTTTTTTGAATTTCAGTACTACTAATAGTTTCAGGAAGAATATATATGTAGCATAAAGATAGTATTAATTTATCAGTAAGAGTTACTAAAAGTTACTAAATAAAGGAAAATATCAAAATTTGGACAACTAATGTAATTAATGTTGGTTACACATGCATGTACACTCACAAAAACAAATAAGAAATCATCATGAATAATTTAACCAGAAATTTGGTTTTGAGTTTTCATTGTAAAAATTAAATAGTTTGCCGGGCTCGGTAGCTCAGCCTGTAATCCCACGCCTTTGGGAGGCTAAGGTGAGTGGATTGCCTGAGCCTGCGGGTTCGAGACCCACCTGGGCAGTGAGACCTCATCTCTACATTAATCAAAAA